TTTGTTATGCCAAGTGCAGACATTTAAAAATCTCCTTCTAAGTCTTTTCTAAATCAAAAACAGCCCAGCCCCGAGTTGACTTTCCTGCGGCCTTGCAGCTCCCTCCGATCCCCATCCTTTCAAAATTACAGTGCTATATTGCGTTTTGAAACTTAGGGACAAAGCCTTATAATACTTGCTGTGGAAAAAATGAGAGGGCATATCGGTTTCTCCCAAAATGTTCCAACAGTGGGGTCCCTGGTTTTACACTGTCACTTTGTAATCAATTGAAGTTTTTGACAATTTATCAAATCTTTTTAAGTTCAGAAGCAGCATTGCTGGTTCAAACGTTCTTTTTATAGGGATAGCAGGTAAAAACTAAAAACCAATGTATGAATAAATGTGTGAAATCCAAAAGGAAAAATGAGAAAAATATAGATAAGGAGTAGTCACTACCACCTGGTTACAGCCTCAAAATCAGAAAGGGAATGATTGTGTGTGCCTCTTGTATGTTTGAGATATTAGCTTGAAAATGGTCAGAAAATTATAAAAAAACAACTCAACAGCCAGAAACCTGCGAGGGACAGTTCAGGGCATTGATTCGATATGTCCATTTCTTGTAGACGCCCCTAGCATTCTGCGTCCATGATCACGGTTGCAAATGTAAGGCGATACAGATATGAAATATATATGTTATAATGTTCAATGAAAAGTGGCTATCGACACAGAGTGCTTTAAAAAGTACTTTAGAGTGTAAAAGTACATTAACATGGTACGGCGTGGCTCTGGGAACGATGGGCTGGGAGAACTGGAAAGATAAAGTGTGTAACCTGTACATAGCGACATAAGGTCAGAGTCGGCGGGGTTGGATGTGGATACGGGAAGGGAGGGCCAAATGGGTTGGGAAATGGAAGAAGTAGGGTACCTGGTCTGGAAATGGGTTCGTTTGGATAAAGTGGATGGAAATGGACAGGGCTGTTGAAGGCTTGGGACAAGGGGGAGTTGTGGAATGCCTTTTCTGTTTCAATCTGTTTCTTATCATTTCACTGGGGGTGATAAAATACTTTATGAATTGAGAATAATTGATCTTTATTTCATTTTGGTTGCTCTGGGGAGAAGATTATCTACAAGGCAGCAGGCACATGGGAAAGTCTTTTAGAATGAGAGATGCTACATTATTGTATTGGTTCAGAATACGAAAAGAAAAAGAATAGAATAGAGCAAGAAAAGAAAATGTCTCAGGAGAAAAAGAGCCCTTTGAATCTGGTAAACAAATTAACAACGAACGTGCAATGAAGAGGCACTCGATGGGGCTAATATTTTGCTTAGCGCATTTCTCTGATATACAACAAGCTCCGAAAAACCCCTCTCTCTGCAAGCCTAATTCTAACCGTCTAATTCTAAAAGTCTAGCCGGCCCATATTCCGCTCCCAACTGCATGATTAAACAATTTAGAATAACTTTAGCACATTGATTCGATCTATTGATTTATTTTGTTACATGATGCCGTCAAAGGAAGGCCAAGTGTTTGGCTCTTCTGTATTTCAATAAGATAAATCGTTTCAAACTCATTAAAAGTTGTTGTCTTCTATCTGGCCTCCGGCTTTGAAATCCAGGTTGTAGAGATATTGACACGTAAAGGACCCTTAACTTCAAATAAAAGACTCCCTGAAACGAACATATTCCTTGAATTAACCCCCTTTTTCAAATAAATAGCTCCTTCAAATGAACGCTCTACCCCAAGCAAACAAATTTGAAAATCTCCAAAAGGTAAGCAAGAAACAGAGAAAAGAAAAAAATGAATAAAAAATCAAAACGATTACAACTAGTAGCGAAATGGTAAGGGAATATCGGCCTAAGAATCTCAATATTTTCCCATCCATCGTGCGAGCATTGTGACCAACTAAATTTATGCTAGTATGTGGCAATTGTGTAAAAGCCATGTCTATGGCAAGAAAATTTCGGTATTACAAGCACCTCTTAAGGTGACAGCAAACACGGTCGTTAAAATTAAAGTCGTAGAAATTGGCTGTGTGTATAGGGACACTGGCACTATATTAAAATGGAAGGGACACAAATGGAAAAGGGCACTTTGACTCAAAGAAGGAGTTATTTAAAAAATTTCTTAACCTAATAAATGAGGTTAATCTAAGGAACATGCCCCACACTTCCGAAATTCCCGGGCGTGTGTACGTGGCGTTTTTATTGCAAGCTTCGACTCTGAATGATAATATAGAGTGAATTCCACACTATGCGCTTAACCAGGTTCGTTAAAAAATCTTTTTTTTAAATGTGAGTCCATAAATTTGACTTGAAAATAAGTCCTTGAATAAAAAAGTGAGATTTTACGTAAGATAGTGTTTCGTTGTGCCACTAAATACATCTCTTTAGCAATAAGACGACGTTAAGAGGTTTCTAGATGATGAGATATATTTTATGAGAGAATCACTTAATATTTGCATGCAAGAAAGTGTGGTATTGAAATTAAACAACATTATTTTCGCTTTCAATGAAAAAGTTTTAATGAACAATAAAACATTTGTTGTCCATTTGTCCTAATTTGCAACGCCAGACGAAATGTCACTTACCAAGTCTATAAAACGTCTTGCCCACTGCCCACCTCTTTTCTTTATCCAACAATTCTCTTTACTTCAACCCTGCTTATCTTGGTGCAACCTGGTGGAGAATACCGAAGTCAAGTTGAAGCATCCTTTAAATGTTGTTTGCGTTGCAAAGGTTGTTTGTCTCGCACATTTTCACAGCCCAAAACTCACAAGATTTCAAAAATATAAGATTCGTGCTGCTCTGGTGATGCCAAAAAGACGCCAACGGCAGATACACAGGGTAAATCTCCCGACGGCGTGCGTGGGTTTTCCAAAGGGAATTTATCTCATGCCTTTTTTTTTTACTCGAACACGCCCGACTTTCCCAATGGACAATGTCCCATTTGGAAAATAAGGATGAAAAACATTGTCGGGATCTGTTTTTATGAAGGGGGCCTTTTCAAAACAGCCTTTGAAAAAGTAGTAAATTGGAAGAAATTTATACCTCTTTTAGGGGCCCCCCTCCCCTAAAAAACATCAAGTTTTTCCCAAAGACACCGAACAGAGTTTGTTTCCCAAAAATAATCTATGCTGTGATTTTTGGATGACTTTTTATATCAAGCAAAACTATAAACTCTTTTCAGCTAAGGAGCTTTGAAGGGATGGGAAACAAAGATTCAACATACTTAAACGATAGACTATTGATGGATATTGCAAATTGTATTAATAGATCCAGTGCGAGCAAAAGCCCAAAGAGGAGGGGGCCTGATTGCCTCTGAGACAGTAGGCAAAAAAGGGGTCACTAGTCATAAAACTGCATCCATTTGAAATTCTTATCAACATGGAATTACAAATCAAATCTGTACTGGGAAAGTTCAGCAAGGCTTTAGGAAATAAAATTTAAAGTAAATAAAGAACATTTTTCCAAATTATATGATATGAATTTTAGGTTTTTTGCTTTGGGTAGGATGGGACCCATGGGACCTAAGCATTGGGGCTACCCCTGGGCCTTCCGTGGCTCGCGACAGCTCGATACCTGTTAAACAACTACCTGATAGAAAAAATTTTTCACATAACATTAATATTAATAAAGACACAAAAACAATAGAAAACAGATTTTAAAAACCTTTTTGCATAATTACCGTATGCTATTCAATTTTTTATCAAAACGCCTTTTATAGGGACAATTGATGCAACGATTCTTTGAGAAGGAAGGGTAAGCCAACAATCCACTGTAAAAAGTTGCAACAAACTTATGCTTGTAATATATAAATGCATGAATGCCACTTGCCTTCGTTTCAGGTTGAATTTTTCAAACCAAAGAATACTCGATACAACCTAAGAACAGATAATTTTTTGAAGCTCCCTGAAACAAATACGTTAGTTTATGAGAACAATTCTTTATCACTTAGATAAAAGTGTTAAAAGCACTAAGCAATTCAAAAACTTGAGCAAGAGCTAGACGGGGAATGAAGTTGCGAAACCTCCAATTTATCCTGTATATGTTCAAGTTTTTATCTTTCATGTATCTTTCCTTTGTTTTGTTTATATTTGTTAAAATTTCTGCCTACGTAACATTTAAATAAATTAATCCCTATTTTGCTTTGTTTTCGATCATAGCCAAGTCAACTCGTGGTAGATGGTATGGGAGCATGATACCTCCTTAAACAAGGGTTTACAGCAAATCGTTGTCTTCGTTTGCAAATAAAAAAGATACCACTTAATAGAAAGTTTTATGATAGGCAGCAACCATTCTTTGCAATTTCAAACATAACAATCTGCCTTAAAAAGAAAGATCTTTGCATTACAAACCAAACCCTTCAATAAGCAAAGGGGTTTTTGACATTTAGTGCAGCTTTGTTTCCCCTTTTGTTCCTTTCACCCTCAAATATTATTTTCTTCGTTTCAAATAAATTTTTTATTTCAGTTTTCATAGAAAGATCACGCGACTTGGATTGGATATTCAGTGCTAAAATTCACATAAAAAACTTTCCAACTCCTGTCCCAGCTGAGAGTGCCAAAAAGCCACCTCAAGGTCGGATTATCGAAAAGCATCAGTGATCTTTGCCAAGACAGTTCAATTCTTCGTGGTGGATACATTTAAAGACAACAGCTTGGCATACTTTTCCAAGAGAAACCAGGTTTTTTTCCATAATCTATGATATTTCAAATTCAGTATTTGTTCAAAAGATTGGTAATTTTGTTCTCTGGAACTGGACAGTAAGCCTGTTGGTACATATTATCACTTATTTGAAAACGAGGGCATTTCATTATTTTAGAATATCTTCAAAAGTCATTGGATCACTGAAAAGCCAGGTGAAAATGATCTCAAAATATTTTCCGGAGAATATCGAATTGGAAGGCTTTCATTTTGGCGAATGCTAGGCTATGTTCTTGTTTCTTATTATTCAGTTCACAATGTTGATGGTTTTCAATATCTGACAAATTTAAAAAAGATGACAGGAAAAAGACTTCATGTTCCGAAGTATTAACATAAATATCATCTTATATTGTCACGAGATCGAAAACTCATCAAGTTGAGTACACAAGATGGAAATAGTTACATGCACTGACCATTAATTGTATAATATTTGTGTGTGTTTGTACTTTATTATAGCAAACAGCTCTTTCAATAGTCTTGAACAACGGAACACTAGAAGTGAATATGCTTTCTCTTTCCTCTCCGCAGAACATTATTCTTTAATAAAATATTTGACATTCTTCGATAAAAATTTGTTTGACATTATCTATGCTTTGTAATGAAAAAACTCTTCCACCATGACATCGTGATCGGCTGGTAACGCTATCCCAATCTTCTTTGCAGCCCACCAAGTGGCACCAAATGATGCCTTTGCACACGGACGGTACTTCAACAAGACAAAATCTTTGATTGGCTTTGCAGCACCATTAGAAATACCTAAGAAAAATTAAGAAATACACAGTGAGAGTGTACTCTTTGGTGTCTAGTTAGAATAAGCGGAGGGGGGGGGGTGGAAAAATTTACGAAACATAGTAAGGGGATGGGGTGGAATAGCTGAGGAGGGGGAAGGGGGTTGGGAAAATTCCCAGGAACTTAATAACCAGGGGGTGGAGAAAAGCAACAATTCTTTAAATATAAAATTTTCTTATAGAATACCACAGAAACTGTAATAAAACAGAAGGTATCAAATATTCTATTTCAAAACTTTAATAGCCGAGGGGAGGGGTTGGAATAAGAATGTCCTGGGTGGAAAAAAATCAAAAAATTAATTAATTAGCGGGGGAGGGACGTCTATTAGGCACCAAAAAGTATACAAGACAGCCTCCATTAGCCAACATGATTTCCCAAAGCAGTGAATAAGTGATACAGTGGAAACCTGATATAACAAACTCTGAAGGGAACCAGGAAGTATTCGCTATATCGAGAGTTCGTTACACAAAGAAGAATTTTTGATTAGGTCTTTTCACGGTATGCGCCTCAAAAACCCTTCCGTGCGAATGTTAAGGCGATGTTCTGGATTTTTAAAAATGCTTTCTTAGAATAAAAGCTTGCAATAAGGTGGTGGTTACGGAATAAGTGGGGACTACAACATTGGCTACCAATCCCATCACAATATTGATTCGATGGGAAGGGGGGGGGGGTAGGTGATTTGTAAGTGTCATCTTCTTTGCAAGTGTTTTAGCATTTTGAAAATCAATTACCTTCTTTTATAATGTGTATTTCAAATTACTCTCAAGGCAATCTCCTGAAAATTTTACACATGGAGGGGGATTTTCATGAAAGGATCTGAACTTGGGCATGAGAGTCCATTATATCCAAGGGTTTTTCAAACTGAGAAAACTTTAAAAAATTGTAAGGCAGAATCCAAGAGAACAGACATTTAGTTTGTTAAACCGGGTACTTCGCTATATCTGGGGTTCGTTATAGCTGGGTCCGTTATATCGGTATACCACTTTGAGACGTCAACAATGTTGTCAAAACAGATGAAGCCATAGAGTATATGTATCTTTGCTCAGAAAGAGGGCAGCTTTACACTAAAAAGGGGTTCATTCAAAAAGGGGACTAAAATAAAAGGGGCCTTTAGGACTCAGAAAAAGACCATCAAATGTAGATTTCAGAAATAAAATTACAGTGATTTGAAAGTGGAACTGGATTGGTTCAATGCTCTCTAACTCAGCCAACATTAGTTTCTTCAGCTGTTTATCACAAGTATTGTTACCCGATTCTTAAGTTATGAAAGTTGAGGAATTCCAAAAAGTAGAGTTTTAATAGCATACAGCACAAGATTTGACCAAATATACTGAAGGAATAGGCAAGGCATTAACAGCACCAAGATGTGTTCACAGTGACTGCAAATGAAATTTGTACAAGATATATGATCTAAAAATTCAGCTTCAGAAAATCTACAATAAACTTTTTGAGAAATAAAAAAGGGTTATTAAAATTTGTATATATTCGAATGGGTAGTACTTGAAGTAAATCTGGAAAATGCTCAATAAAACATACCTTCCAAGAAGCCATTTTTCAAGAAATCCCAGCTTTTCCATACTGAGCCAACACACAATATTTTTAAACTTTTGTCTTTCTCAAGCATACCACACTCCATTTTTGGAATAAGGGCCTTGATGTGCTTTCCTAGCCCAACCCCTGCTTCTTCAAGCACATGTAAGCAAAGAGCATCACCCATCTCAGCTCCTTTTACAATAGCCTTCCCACAAAACTTTGCATATTGCTCTTTATTAAAGCCATACAAATGTGTCAACAAATCTTGTTTATGCTTCAAATCAAAGTATGCAAAGAGTTCTTTCTGTATGTAATCCACAGGAAATGGGCTGATTTCAAATCCATCATCATGGTTGAAAAAGATTTTTACTGCCCTATGAGTGATCCAAAAAGCTGATCCTTCATCACCTACAAAAGAGTATTTACTAGATAAATCTGATGCAGAATTTATTTCATTTTGAAGTCTGACCGTTTCTTATGTTTATTGCATGTTATAAACTGATGTAAAGATAATATTCAATAATAAGCATTGAATCTCCTTCCAGTGCACAAAGCAAATTAAAAGTTTTGATGATATGTCCTGTGTCTTAATGAATTAACCATGAACTCATTCACTCTTAACTCATTCAAAAAAGCAAATCAAAGAGGATGTACTCACCCAGCATATGCCCCCATCCTCCACATTTGTACATTGATCCACAAGGGTTCATCAGCAAACAGTTGCTCCCTGTGCCAGCAATCAGAACAATTCCTCCCTTGTCTGTTGCTGTCTCCAATGATCCTACAGTGTCATTGCATGCAAAGCACGCCTCTGTGGCATTTGGAAATCTTGCAACAAGCTTCTCTTCCATCTCTTTCTGCTCTTCTCTCTTATCAGCACCACTTAGTGACAATCCAAGAGATTTCAGCTTTGTTTCCAATGGTATGCCTGCCTTTTTCTTAGCTACCTCGACAAGTTCATTAATTCTTTCAACTGTTTTGTCTAAACCTGAAAAAATAAAAACAATGGTCAAAAGATTTAAGTCTAACCTGCTAAAACTAACCTAGTTGGTCTTGAATTTGTTGCTACCTAGCTTCGGAAGGGTTGCTTTAGGATACTGACAAGCTATGCTTATTGAGCAATTTCCTTGTCTTTTTTCTCAATTTTTTTGAACACGCCTTGTTATTCCTGTATTTTGAATCATGCAATCTGTACATGGCCAATAGGGGACTTGCTTGGCCGATGGAAGGCTTGTTTGGGCAATGGGGGGCTTGTTTGGCCAATGGGGGCTTGTTTGGCCAATGGGGGCTTGTTTGGCCAATGGGGGCAATGGAATCCAAAACTTTCAGATCGTAGACTGCACCAGGAACCAGCGGGCTATGCTCACAGATACCATCAGGCAAACATGTCCTCTTAAACTTGCAAAAAGAAATTTAGGATAGAAGCCCAATTCAGTGTGTTGAAGCTACTTCAGAGGCCGTTTTCATGGAGATGAATGCCAGCTGTTTTTAATAAATTGCCTTGTAATTTGAAAAGTAACAAATTGTCTTTAAGCAAATTGGCTATTGGAGGCACCTCAGCATTTTAAACAAGTTATCTGTTGGTGTTCTAAACTGTATCAAAAGAAGATGAAATAAGACTCAAAAATGCTTTACATTATAATTTAACTGTTTAAATAATGCACCTCCAAAAAATGAAGTACTCCCTCTCAAGTTTTGCCCAACTAAGCGGCATTGAGGGCACATGAAAAAA